CCCAGCTCCTCAGGAGGCTGAGACAGGAAAATGGCTTGAACCCAGGAGGCAGAGGTTACAGTGAGCAGAGATCATGCCACTGCACTCCAGCCTGGGTAACAGAGCAGGATGCCATCTCAAAAAAAAAAAAAAAGAAAGAAAAGAAAGAGTGCTCTTTCCCCACCTTGTTTTTATTTGCTCTGTTGAAGATCAGTTGGCCATAAGAATTTGAGTTTATTTCTGGGTTTTCTATTATTTTCCATTGGTCTATGTGCCTATTTTTATACCAGTACCATGCTGTTTTGGTGACTATGGCCTTATAGTATAGTTGGAAATCAGGTAGTGCGATGTATCCAGATTTGTTCTTTTTGCTTAGTCTTGCTTTGGCTGTGTGGGCTCTTTTTTTGGTCCATATGAATTTTAGAATTGTTTTATCTGTGAAGAATGATGGTGGCATTTTGATGGGGATTGCATTAAATTTGTAGATTGCTTCTGGCAATATGGTCATTTTCACAATATTGATTCTATCCATCCATGAGCATGGGATATGTTTCCATTTGTTTGTGTCATCTATTATGTCTTTTAGCAGTGTTTTGTAGTTTTCCTTGTAGAGGTCTTTCACCTCCTTGATTGAGTGTATTCATAAGATTTTTTCGTTTTGTTTTGTTTTTTGGGTTTGTTTGTTTTTGCAGCTATTGTAAAAGGGATTGAGTTCTTGATTTGATTCTCCTCTTGGTCACTGCTGGTGTATAGAAGAGCTATACATTTGTGTACATTAATCTTGTATCTGGAAACTTTGCTGAATCCTTTTAACAGTTCTAGGAGCTTTCTGGAGAAGTCTTTAGAGTTTTCAAGGTAAACAATCATACCTTCAGCAAACAGTGACTGACTTCCTCTTTACTAATTTGAATGCCCTTTCTTTCTCTTGTCTGATTGCTCTGGCTAGGACTTCCATTTTTTTTAAGCATGTTATAAAATTTATTCGTGTAAGCATTCAGACATTTTTAGGTGGGAAAGATGATATGCAGAATCCACTACAAGGTGCAACAAAAAATCGTATTAGATAGGATGGTCCATCTGGTGCAGACCAGCAGTGGCACAATTCCAAACAAATGTCAGACGAGAGCGCTTCATGGGGAGAAACTGAAAATAATAATTTAAAGCTTCATGAGGCAAGATATGTTCCGATTTAAAACACTAAGAAATAGTACCGTCAATGAAAAAGGAAATCAACCTTTAAGTGTACCAAAAGAGGTGCAGGGCAAACAAGAGGAAAATTTGCATTTGTTGAGGTACAAACAGGAGTGTTCTGTAAGAGAGGGGCATTGATGATTATTAATGACAAACCCTGCAAATACAAAATAAAACCCAAATCACTGGTCACAGAATTCAAAATTTACATGTAATAAAGGCAAGGCAATAGACTCAAGTTATGGCCTGGTGAATATTTACTCCACTGACATTATCTACAGAAGCACTTGGTACACAGTGATTCCTTATGCACGCCGAAAGGGTTTCCATAAAAATGACACTATATACAAATCTGTACACCCATCCACCAGAGCGATTCTCCAGCTCCCAGAAGGAGTTCTCCACATAAAGCAGGATACCTGAGGTTTCATGTCTTTAGTTGCCTTATCACAATCCCAAATATACATTTCGGGGCTTGTTTTTGTTTTTAAAGACACTTCCCTTGAATATGTGCACTATGGTTAAAATTAAAAACAAAAGTAATAAAATGATCGCTGGAAGGAGCTGACCCTCCCCACCCATCTGAGAGACTTCATCTGGCTACAGCACAGCGAGGACTGTGTGTGTCCCTGGGTGGGCGCCCGGCATCAGAGTGGCCCCCGGCGGTGCACCTCTTCAGTGGAGTCAGCGAAGGCTCTCGTTGACTTTTGAAAAGAAGGAGGATGAAGAAGAAAAATGGAAAAAACAAAACTTTTTACACTTACACTCCCACCAACAGTGTAAAAGCATTTCTATTTCTCCACATCCTCTCTTGCATCTGTTGTTTCCTGACTTTTTAATGACATTAATCTTCTTGCACATCTCTATCAGAGCTCATGAGTGACCAGGCACATTGTCAATATGCAGTAATGTTTGAATGGAAACTTCTTTTCTGAGCAGTAGGTCTCGAAAGTGGCCTTAATATAAATCATGATGTAAATCATGGACTTAATATAAATCATGTGCTATCATCCAGGATTAGTTGTTTCATTTCTAGAGTGCAGGCAGAATAGATTTAGTATAATTCTGAAGGGACCACGGATTTTCAGAATGGTAAATGAGAATTGGCTTCAACTTAAGGTCACCAGCTCCACCAGCCCGTAACAAAAGAGTTGTCCTGTGCTCTCTAGCTATGAAAGTTCTAGATGCCATCTTCTTCGAACAGAAGGCTGCTTCCTCTACATTGAACATCTGCTGTTTAGTGTAGATACCTTCATCACTTATCTTAACTAGATCCTCTGGGTAACGTGCTGCAGTTTCTACATCGTCGCTTGCTACTTCACCTTGCTCTTTTATTTTATGGGGATGGCTTCTCATGAACCGATCACTGCTAACTTTTCTTCTGCAGTTTCCTCACCTCTCAGCCTCGATAAAATTGAAGCGAGTTATAGTCTGTACCTGGATTAGGCTTTAAGAGAATGTTGTGGGTGGTTTGACATTCTATTCAGACCACTAAAACTTTCTTCATATTAGCAATAAGGCTGTTTTTACTTCTTATCATTCATGTGTCCACTGGAGTAGCCATTTTGATTTCATTCAAGAACTTTTCCTTTGTATTCCCAACGTGGCTAACTGATGCAAATGAGCTAGTTTTCAGCCTGTCTCAGCTTTCAACATGCCTTCTTCACTAAGCTTTATCATTTCTAGCTTTTGATTTCAAGTGAGAGATGTGTGACTCTTCCTTTCATTTGAACACTTGGAGACCAGTGCAAGGTTATTAATTGGCCTAATCTCAATATTGCTGGGTCTCAGATAATAGGAAGGCCTAAGAAGAGGGAGAGAGACAGGGACAGAGCTGGCCAGTGGAGCAGTCAGAACACATGCATTTATCAATTATGCTCACCATCTTATACAGGCACAGTTCATAGTGCCCCAAAACAATTACATTCACATGGAAAAGCAGCATGGTCTGGGAGATAGAAAGAGAGCAAATAATGCAAAAGCAGTGGCAACCATAAGATTATGTGTTTGCTCTCAAACAGAACAGGCCTCATGTGTGATTCTTTTCAGGCTAGAACTTGACATTTTGGAGATCCAGATTTTGGAAGAATTTGCATTTGCTTCTTCTGCTGCCTCCAAGATGTTCACATTCTTCTAAGGGGCCTCACTACCCTACTCTACATAATATGAGGGCACATAGGTGTTTTCATAGAAGACAGAGCACACGGTCATAACCAAATGGGCACTCCTTTCAGCCTTGAGTTCCCTGGGGCATTGTGAGCTGTCCAGAGAGCTCTCTGGAACACAGGTCAGGGCACCTGTGATTAGAAGAAAGAAGGGCACCTTCTTCCAGTAAAATTCATAGTCTCTGATGCTTATGCCAGTGACAGGGAATAGGTCAACTGGACACCCATGGCATGTCCACATGGTACAGTGCACTGAACTTGAATGGGGGAGGTTATTGTCTATGTGGTCCCTGACAGGTAAATTTGTCTCTCTAAATAGTGTCTCCTAGCCATGTTTGGAGATGGCCTGAGGTAATGCTTGGTAAGGGAGACTATCCAAGGTAGCACCAAATCAATCTCTTGGAGACCATCCCCCGCCTACCTCTGGTGATGTCTGTGATGGTGGTTGGTCATGATCTCTTTTCTAAGATGCCCTTGTCCAAGAGAAGCTTTTGGCATAGGTAAAGACGAGCCTGAAAAAAACCCAGAGCTCAGTGATGCCTCTGAGGTGGATCACAGCCTCTGGTCTGACGGGAAAATTTTCATCACTGATGTCTCTTTCATTGAATGGCCCAGCAAGAAGCACTAGACTGGAGCATAACACTGCACACCTGCCTCTGGACATGACCTGTCCACTTGAAACCTCTTCACATTTGACACATGTGACCGAACCCAAGATCATTTCAGAGGAGTTGTGATTGCATAGAGTAAGAAAGAGTCTCTACCACAGTGATTAATTTTACCAACTCACAGTAGGATGACAGACAAGACCCACAGCCACTCTGCGCCAATGACTCCTTAGCAGCTGCAGCATGGACAACATGTTTCCCACCCCTTGGACTTCCTCTTGATCAAAAGAAAAGAGAATGAGCCCCTAAGGAAAAGGGCTTGGGAAAGATAGGGACTATTCTGTTCATGGAAGGTGCTGGAGTGTCAGATCCTGAGACCTAAATTGGGTCCCATCAGAGAAGTAGCCGTGTTGCTGGGTGCTGCATAGGACGAGTTTTGGGGTTGGTGTAGGCACTCACTCTCACTAGGATGCCTCTGGTCTCAGGTAATGGAGAGAAGTGAGCAAAAAGGGAGCCTAGAAGAAACACCCTCTTCTAGCCATGTCATATCCCCTCACTCTCTTGTGCCTCAAGCATGTCACTGGCCTTCCTGGGCCTCATTATCCTCATTGTCAAGAGACAGTAATCTGAGCCTCAGAAAGAGATTGGGGATTAGCCTTGGGGGTGCCCCAAGGCTAAGGAGAGCAAAGCAGTGCTTTGGGGTCTCCCGCTCTTTACCTCTGGTTCTAACCACCACCCATCTCATGCTTAATGGGTCCTTCTGACTCCAGGGTGAAAAATATTCTCCTTAGCATAGGGAGATGCTGCACATGAGACTTTTCTCCCCCTGGGGGTACTGGTTCAATGAGCAAAACAGCAAGAGGCTGAGCCTCCTGAGGGCTGGCAGGGATTCATGGGCCACAGAGGGAGAGGGAGGGTAGAGAAGCATAACCAGGGAGAGAAATCGAAGACCAAGAACCAAGAAGAAAGGGGCATCTGTGGGGGCTACAGTGGGCTCTCAGTAATCACCTGTAGTGGCAGCAAAAGAAGCAGGATCCCTGGGTGTTTGTTCTGGTTTATTTGACCGGGACAAGGAGTTCAGGCAGGAGGGAGGGCGACATTCATGTTGATGTTCTTGTGCTGGTGATTTGAAGTCCTTGTGCTTTGGATGTGGGCACAGTGTCGGATGGAAGGGTGCAGGGATCAGGATGCACACCCCAGCCCACTCTCCTACTCACAGGATGCTCATGCAAACGTTCCCGCAGAAGGCTGAACAGCATATGTTATTTGCTTCACACTTTTGGAAATATGAACAATGGTGGATACATAGATTTATGCTGGGTTGCTTCTTACAGATCTTGATTCCTGAAATGGTGCAGGAGCAGTCAATGAAACCACACACCTACAGAACACCCTTCTCAAGCCTGAAGCTCCTCCAAGGCAGAGCCAAGCCTCCCGCCCATCCCCTGCGACGACTCTCCTGCACTTTTCAGGGAACTTCCTTCTAGCCCATCCTAGTGATTGGTAGTATCTTTATTTTTTTTATTATTTTATTTATTTATTTATTTTAGACAGACTCTCTTTCTGTCATCCAGGCTGGAGTGCAGTGGCGTGATTTCGGCTCACTGCAACCTCAGCTCACTGCAACCTCCACCTCCCGGATTCAAGCGATTCTCCTGCCTCAGCCTCCCAAATAGCTGGGATTACAGCCGCTCACCACCACACCCGGCTAATTTTTGTATTTTTTTTAGTAGAGACGGGGTTTCACTATGTTGCTCAGGCTGGTTTCAAACTCCTGACCTCGTAATCTGCCTACCTCGGCCTTCCAAAGTGCTAGAATTACAGGCACGAACCACCTCACCTGGCGGTAATTGGTAGTGTCTTTTTTTTTTTTTTTTTTTTTTTTTTT